AACACAATATAAAATATAAATGTGAACCATTTAAATTTACTATTAGTTTTATAATAATCAGCCAGTGCTCGAATTGGGAAAAATTAAGTAGAGGAGGTCAATCTAACGGTTTAAAAATTGCGTTCCAAGGGCGCAATTATTCAACACAGACCATACTAAAAATAGTAGGGGAGCTCCGTTCGCCGGCGCACCTCCCCCCCCAATTCGAGCACTGTAATCAGCTATACTTCTTAGTTATTTTATATATTATCCAAGTACCTATATTGTTTAGATAAGATATTATTTTCATTAGACTATCTATTATCTAGATAATTGTATTTCAATTGATGTACCTATCATCTCATCTAGACAATTTGTATTGAAAAATATATAATATGATCTTATTTAGATAATAGTTGAATTATCTATGCTGAACACCGAATTAACACTACATCATCTTAGTCGAGCACTCGAGCCAAATAAAAATGGTTAACAGTTTGATGCAACGAATATTATGTAGGCATATATGTTTTTATACATTATATTGACAAACTGACAACTGTATATTTGTGTTCAACGGCGAGAGAACAAATATAATTTATGAGTTGGCCAATAGAAGAGTAAAACAACAATAATTTTCTGATCTAAATTAGCTTGTTATACATTTTGTTAGTATGTTAATATGAGAAGAATGTGTTGGTTTTAATTAAAATGTTAATGAAGTAACTAGAAGTTATAAATGATTTATGCTTATATACCTAAACAATATATAATATTTATTTAATTTTCATTTCCCTCTATATTGAAATACAATTGAAAAGTTTAATAATCTTTTGATCAATTACAACTGGCAATTACAGGCATATAGACTCAAATAATTGTTTTAGGCGATTGTTATTATTAATTTAACTTATGCTGTTGGACCTCGCCGCCGTTTTTTTTTTTTAAATTATTATTATTATTTACTTTTTTTTTGGAGGGGAGATTTTAAACTTGTGGTTAAGACATAGTCTATTTGTGCATATTTCGACAGAGCTTCTAAGATGTTCTCACACCGGAGCTTCAAAATTACAGTCATAATTGAGCTTAATCTACAAATAAAACGCTCGTTAAAACAATAACACTATTTTCAACCCTCCTCCTCACCAGCCACCATTATACACAGCATTAAACACTATACTACATATGTATATATATAATATATATATATGGCATATCGTTCGATCATATCGCTGCGATAAAGCTGTCGAGCACGTTTATACGACCGTTTAACGGTCGTAAAAGTACGCCGCCGCGGCTCGAGGGTACCTATCTATATATTATTATTATAATATGTTTACATGCACATTTTATAATATCACACACGCGATATGTATGATATTGTGTATATGTGTTGCTTTTTTTTTGTTGTTTACGATACACCCCTTTACAAAACAACTCCTACCCCCGTCCGCCACCCTCACTGGCCATAATTATTCCGCCGTTTCCCGCTCGTATTATATATTTACATTATTATAATAATATATAATATCACAACGTTATTTTATCATATAAAAATAATGTTATGTATGTATACACGCGCGGTAATTATTCATTATACCGCGGTTGTGGTTTGTGGTAAAACGGCTCTAAAGGGTATCGTAGGTAATCACGAACGTAATATACGGTATAAATGTATAATACTATGTGTGTATGTATGTATGTATGTATGTATGTATGTATATTCGTGTTTTATTATACAGCAAATCGTTTAACGTCAAACATTTAATGTTTCGTGTGTTTACAGGGTCATCCGGGGGACAAAGGACAGAAAGGTGATTCCAGCGCACCGAATTTCGACATATACGCCGCGGTTAAGGTAAAACGAGACCACATACCTATGATAATATATTATATTGTTTTTTTTCCATTTCAACTGTATAATGATATCATGTTATTATACCTATCACTGTTTTCCTCGATCCTCGCCTCGTTCGTTTTTCAATTTTTTTCACGTTTAACATCGCGCGTATCTCTGACCCACAGTCACTGTCCTCGCATATAATATAATATTATTAGATACATACGTGTGTTCACAACAAAAAAGAAAAAGGTCAACGTTCCTATATTATTTACGCTGCGCCGAATGCATTCGCTTTTCGTATATGAGTATTTTTTTTTTTTGGTTTACGCGATAAAAGCGAGATAGGGTACTGGACCGATGCAGTATTATAGGCAATATAACGCGAGGGTCTCAGAGGGTTTTACCGCAAAAAGCAATATTGTACGCATACAAAAATACCTATATAATACTACATATACGTACATAGAACGACTGGAGTTTCTGGTTATTTTTTTCCTTCTATTCTCTCGCCCCGTTTCTGCATAGCGCCGCTCGAGCTGATTTCATTCAATTCACACGTGTATATTTTTTTTACCATTCGGCCTGCTACACTCTTTTCTGTATACCAGATACCTATACATATTATAAATATTATACAAGTTAATTCACCAAACATGCTCAAGCCCAATTTCTTTTTTTAATGATCAATTTATACGAACCCTGATTTGACGATTTTTTAGTAGAAAATAAAAATACCATATTTTCAAACACTTTTTATTTATTTTTATGCCATTTAACGCGTGTCCCCTTGGGTGGGTGGCTGTGTCGATACAAATTTAATTTTTAAACGGAAATCGGCTTTTTTTACTGTAAATGACTGTAGAGCAGATTATTTTTTTATTAAATTTTGATATAATATTATATTAATCGATATTCTCAATTTTGAACGGGTTATTTCTGAATTATTTAACTTTAAGTATTATGGAAAATTATCCAAAATTATTTAGGTTTAGAAGATAATATGGTGGTAACGATGATTTGAAAATAATAGTAATTTATAGATGGATTAGTAACTATACCTATTTTATAATTGTAATTATTTGTCGACGTAATGAGTATACTGTATACTAGACTAAATAGTAAATATTAATAATATTCTATATTTGATTCAAGTCCATTATTAAGAATTAATAATTTCCTTGTTTATGAACTTCAATAACTGGAAAATAATAATAACTCATTGAAATTTCGATTTTGATTCATCAACGTTTTCAAAAAAGTAACCTGCTTAACAATTCACAGGAACAAAGGTTGAATATCATTTAAAATAAAGAAGTTTGTATCCATCACAGTCATGTAAAGGACACTCTGTATAAAAATGTAGGTAAAACCTATACAAAATCTTAGTACCCGATAACCTGAATATAATATGGTTTTCAAGTAGACATACTAAAAATATAAATTCCAAAAATTGGAATTTGAACAAATGCATTACTAAAAGATAAAACGGACAATTGCCGATCATGTTTGGTTGAATCACTCTGTATAAACGACGGCACACGTGAATAACATACCACCAATAATTATTGCAGGGAACCAGCAGTAAACGATCTGTAACGACGCTGAGAGGAGGTACTCTCGGATACGCAGAAATCGTAGCCGTTAAGGTGAACTATTTCGATATAGGTTTTTTTATAAGTACTTTTTTTTTTATTTGGTGTTCTTCGTAGATAGACTTCTTTATTTTTTTGTATTATTTTTATTATTGTTATTAGTATTATTCTAGTGTCATCTCTTTTTCATATTCTATGCTGCAGTAGTATAATAGGCATTATATGTTATATGTATAGTATATACCTAGGGGTTTTACATGTACTTATTGTATTATCATTTATTGTGTGCGCGTGTGCTAAGATTTTATATCATTATTATTTATTTATATATGTATATATATTTGAAACTTTTCCTTTTTTTTTTTTATTGCGATATTTTGGCTTTTTAGAAAAGTAGTGGTTTGGAAAAAGACGATAACATATTATTATAATGCACATAAAGAGAGAGAGCAATGAAACGAAATATCACTATATAGGTATGCAAAATGTAATTTTTCAAACAACAACAACAACAACAACATCAACAACAAAATAACATTTTAAACGCTATACAGCTATTCTTTACAAAAACATTCTGAGTGGGTATATCATAATATGGTATCCTTGCAACTGAATTTAATTTAATAACACTTTCAAGTTTCAGTATTCCCGTCTCGTGTAACCGGGTATAATAATTTTTTTTTCTCATAAACTCCGCGATTTCCCCGCGACACAGCAGCAGAGTCGGACGTTTGATATTAGGTACGATATGCGTGCAAACAACACGGTCGATATAGTACGCAAATATTGTCGAGTGTTGTATGTTTACGATTTACAAAGTATCTGTTTCCGGACAAAATCTTACACGATACAGTGTTATATGTACCCTCGTCCCACACGTAGAATATATTATATTTTTATGCATTCGTTACGAAGAGTTTTTGCCTTTCGGTCAGTTCGTACCGGTATAATAATATATGTGCATCGCACTTGTAAATAATATTATTGTCATGGCATTCGTCTCGTCGCGTTATGGCCAAGACTTCCTCGAAAATCTCGTACCTACGCCGAAACGTGTTCATCACAAAAGTCATATAATAGACGTTTTGGCTTCACCCTACGTCTCGGCATCCATCGTACAAGTTAAAAAAAAAAAAAAACAATACGGTCGAAGTGTAAATTTACGGCTTGTCTATAAATATATACATAATAATATCGCGAGTTAATATATTTTATTATATGTATAGTCGTCGTCATCAAGCTGCGGTGTAAAACGATTTAGGTATACGCCTCGAACGCGTTTTATTTTATTATTTTACTGCGTTCGGACAAACGATTAGGACTTAGGAGGTATATAATAATGATGATGATAATGTATTATAGATACATATCCCGACGATGCGTATAACCAATCTTCCTTTCATTTAGTTTTTTTTTTTACATTTTTTTCTCCGTTTCCTCTCGCCTCTCTTTCTCTCATGTTGTTAGGTCCAATTTGTTTTTATTTTGCATGAAATGCTTTGTTTTTTATTTACGGTAGTTGGTGGCTGGTTGGTTTATAGGGTCTACAAGATCGTGGACATAACATATCGGCGGAAAGCATAGTCATGGTTAAAGTGAGTACAAAATACATACAACGTGCATGTTCGTATTCAGCCACACTTGTATTTTTTTATTTATTATCCGGTCACATTGGTCAGTGACACTACCTATACGTAATTATAGTAGTTTTATTTTTTTTAATACCTTGATAAATACACTGCAGAGTGTCCGCATATTTAAATCAATTTAATAAGTTAATTTTACTAGCGGACACCTTGTGCATTGCGGGATGATGGACCACATTTGTAAAAAAAAATATAATAGTAACGTATGAAAAAGAAACAACAAATAATAAAGTAATATAAAACCGTATCCGTAGGCACACAATCGTTGTGTTTTTATTTCCATAATCTTTAGCTGCGATTTACATATTCGCGCAGACAGATCATATTACTAACGACTGGTTATAACGACGGGCATACAACAGCAGCAGGTAGTCGTCAGTGTACCTATATACTTTTATAACACACTGCAGACAAATCGTTTCCGGTATATTATTTTCATCGAGATTTATACATTCGATTTCATGCGATCGGGTTTATTACTTTTAATATTTATTTTTTATTTATTTTTTACATAATATACATACTTACAAATCTGGTCCCCTACCCTGCTACCCACCCAATCAACGGTCGATTGTCCGATCACTTTATTTGTGTGCATAACGCGACTTGTTTTTAGGGCGAGCCGGGAGAACCAGGACCACCAGGACCGATTGGGGCAAGAGGACCCGAAGGAGCAATGGGGGTAAGTTGAATGAATCCGTTATTATTACTATTATTATTATTGTTATTGCTGTACAATGGGAAATTTGAATATTATTATCGGAACACACGCTTACGATAATGTGATGTACTATATTATATTAAACGCGAAATGATACTGGTATCAGCGACACGGTTTAGCGGCTCTTTACTCCGCAGGTGATTGGAGGGGGTTGGGGTTTGGTAGTGAGGTGACGGACTTCCACACAATCGACATCTGTTCAAAAAACCCATATGGTCAGTTAAAAAAAAAAAATTTTAAATACGATTCTTTGTTGTTGCTAAATATATTTTATACTTATACAGTGACATAAATGTATATGTTCGTCCATTTATTATACAAACCCCTTGTAAAAAATAAACACAAGGCCGGCTCAACTTATTTACTGTGGTATATATTATACGAACCCTTTTGTGAAAAATACACAAGGTTAGTTACTATAGTATGTACGAACGAAACATTTTATTTTTATCTCTGTGATGTACCTATAGTTAAACTGTTATTTTCAAACAGCGATTGTCCCGTGTATTTACGAAAAAAAGAATACCTATGATATACAATTATTCGTTTACGATATTTTTCCAAACTTCGTACACCGTGTGGTATCGGCCATTAATTTTTTTGTTTCAAAAAACAAACTTGCTATATAAATATATAATATTTTAAATCTACGCATAAATACTTCGCATCAGACCAGCTCTTGTTTAAAAGTGTCTTGTTGGTTTGACTCACTTGCTTCGGAGCTGATCAAAACAAAATCGTTTACCAACAAAGTGGATTACTCGATAAGACATTTCGTGCCTCTAATTAAATAGCCACGAGTAAAATCACTAACCGTTTTGTATTTTAAAAGCGTTTTATTTTTGTCCCAGAAAGTCATATATTTATAATCCTTAACTTTTATTTATTAAACAATAACTGCACGTCATTATAAGCTTTATTCGAAGCTTGATTTTACGATTATGCGCTCATAATTTTTTGACCGCGGTCGTATTTGTTTGAAATTTATACCAAAAAGGAAGGTAGCTAATTTACATGCAAACCGCATATTGTAAACCATGTTGATTTTAACTCGGTTTTGGTTTGCATATACATTGGCTATACCACTAATACGCACCACTCTAAAACGCGGCGGGTACTTACGTTTTAATTTTTAAACTGATCTGGTTCGGTAACGTTTTATAATTTATGTTTCACGATTTAATATTAGTTTATCTATTATACTCGACGACTCGACGTATAATTGACACGAGTCAACGATTGTGTAAATAAATAAACACAAAATACCCGTTTTGCGTATATCCGCAGCGTATAATATATACATGAAATCTGAACATTAATTTATTCTCACTAATTACAGGTAGAAGGTAAACAAGGACCACCCGGCGCTCCAGGATTGGTAAGTACCCCGGTATAATATTATTATGTATTGTGTTTCCATGTATATATACCGAAACACACACACACACACACACACACGCACAACACCGTAATACGATACTGTTATGATATTAAATTATATTTGTATACCCGGTATAAACCTACATATTATATAATATTATATACGCGTACCTATACATACAACGCGTTCGTTTTGCTTTCACGATAGTCTAGTAACACACCAAAAAAAAAAATTGTGTCAAAGCGCAAGAGCAAGCGCGCATATCTATAGAGTATCATTAGTTACGATATTATTTACGATATTTCGTTGCCGAATATTATCCATAATATTATTTCATATTTTTTTTGGAAATTGTTCGATCTAGCGGTGCGGACGGCGGCGTCGGCGAAACGATAATATTATTCGATTCCACCCACGCAAGAGATTACCGATGATAACCTTATAGGCGTATACTACAATGTTATACCTACGATTTTTTTCATCCACTCGCATATGTCGATATCTTCCTCATACCATTTTATCCCCGATATTAATATTATATTATTGTATGTTTTCTCTACCACATTTATTGTGTTGTAAGAATATCGATTACAATTCCCATGGGTTATTATAATTCTCATGCAGAGACATCATTTCTTTCCAAAAACGGTCGGTCGATGTACACGTTATTAAATAGAGTAATAACAATACGAGTTGCAACTTGCAAAACCGAAAGTCGATGCCGTGCAGACGCGTTCCAACACTTTTCACCTACGCCGTCGCAGGCCGCCCCGCCGTTTCAAGATACACGATGCATTGCAATATTTGTCGACGACGTGTTCTTCGATTTTTCTTCTGGATACAATATATTATATTTGTACGAGTGTGTAATAAATACTGACGATGAGTCGGCAAAATGTGTACTTGTCAGTGGTCTTGCACGAGCAGAGCTGATGGTTGCAAGTGCAAGTGCAATGCGCAGCTGGCCGCGGGAATGCCTGCCGGGGAATGTAGGAAAGCAGAGAAATAGCAGAAAAAAATGTCTGATTTAGCGTGACGGTCGTCCGTCGTATACAATATTGTGTACATAATATGCACCGAGACCGCCGCCGCAAAAAAAAAAAATATGGAAAAAAATGCATATTGTATACGAAGAATTACAAACACATATAATAATATATGACGACTACGTGTGTGTATGTGTGAGTACCACGATGCAAGTGAGAGAATATTTTAACGTGGGGTGGACGTTAGTTCTAGATCTGTGGCGGTGGACGATGAGGTGTAGGAGGAGGAGAAGAAGGGGAACACAAGAAAATATTTACTCAGTTGTGGTTTACGGACGGACAGGCACGGACGGGGTGGAAAATAGGGGTTGTATTATATAAAAGTCGTCGTGTAAAATATCACATAATAAATGTACACCCGCGGCCTATATTAATATACTGTAGCTAGGGGGTTCGTTTAAGCGCGTGCAGTCCACACATTTTAGTACGATGGACAATGATGCAACAACCAGACCAAATATTATACATCTATTATACGGTAATAATATATGTCTTAGATATCTGGTGTCTTGATTATGGTGACCTGATATAAAAAATAATAAAAATTTCCTTCACAGACTCACAAATATAATAAATATAGATTTAATAGTTATTTATTATATTATAAAATTATGTCATATAATATACGCCCAAATAAATTAAAATCATTCGCCCGTCGTGTAAAATAATATACCTATTATATATTAATACAATATACATATATAGTGAAACGCGTTATATATATACTATACGAGTCCACGTGGCTACGTATAATATTATAGCTGTAGTATTATATTTTCTAATTTTTATGGAACATGATATTATGATAGTATAAACGCATATTATATACACCTAACTTGTCTAAAAAAACTTGTTTTTTTTACCCATTAATATAGGTTGGACCGAAGGGTGACCGAGGAGAACAAGGGCTGCAGGTACGGTTTCTTTTACCTATTTATTTATTATTTACTATATTAAAATCAGAATTATTATTATTATTTTATTTTTATATTTCACTAATGAAAATAAATTGCTGCAGTGAGAAATGAAAACGAACTCGTAAAAAAATCTATAAGAGTGTTTGCGTTTGAAAGTGAAGGGGATATTTTCAACGAGATATGTTGGTTTCCATGATTTTAAGCGTACATGTCAATTATTTCATAACTAAAAGGTTTTTTAGAACTTGTATTTCATTATTTTATTTTTATTACACGTTGCAATTAATAATTTTACACACACACACACACACACATTTTGACTATATTAGTGATTTCAAGATATTGACTCCGGTCTCCGATTTTCATAACATTGTCGTGTCTATTATTATTTATTATAATAGAGAGTTATTGATTTTATAATATTACTGAACATATTATAAACATAATGTGTGGAGAAATGAATAGTTGTTTTTTAATTATTTTGTTTTATAGTTGGTTTTGCGTTTGAATTAATTTAAGTACGTTTATAATTTTTATTTTTATATCATATATTTAAATATATTACAATCCGTTAAACAAAAACATTGAGTAACATCGGTAAATACTAACTATGATCTAATATACAATAGGGATGAAAAGGAGACCATTCTACTACAGATCTCTGGACCTATTTATTTTAAGCTGACGGTGGATGTTTTTAGATTATGAGTGGGATCACTTGTTATTAATGAGTTGATTGGAAACTTGTAGTGGTTGCAAGTTGATTGACCGTTTGTCGTGGTATATCTTAAACCGATGTGAAAGGCAGCGTTTGTAATGTACCACGGAACACGTGTAATAAGAGTTAAGGCTATAGATTTCAAAGCTCGTATAGGAATAAAAGACGGACGTTCGCTGGTTTTCCGGGCAATATCTGATTGCGTCTCATTTCGATCTTTTAAACTCTTTCAGCGTTTTGATCGCGTCCCTATAAGTCAGGTAAATTAAAAATATATAGTGCGTTCCTAATTCATATTGGGTCGGGGTGAACATATTTGGCATAATAATTTACAGTAGAACATAAAAAAGGGAAACAAATTTACTTTTACCTAACTTTGGGACGTAATAATAAATCTCAAGATTTGACTGGGCCCCATATTTGGACCACTATACTGGTCTGATGATTGATTTGTAAATAAACATTTCATTTTGAGACTGGTTTGATTTCAAAATAGGGCATGTATAGTAAACGAATTTGAGAATTTAGTTGCTTGCGTTTTTTCTTAGTGTGATTTGATCTGGTTAATCTTTTGGTGTAATATACTAATACCTATATATTTTGTCGATGGTTGTAAAGGAAAGATGTTGTTATTTAGTTTGAGCAGAGGACATAAGTATATTTTCAGGGGAAAGTTTAAGTTTATCGTCATAAGTTATTTTTTATTTACTATTAATTATATTACATACGGATTTCGAAAATATTTCCCTATCTTGTTATTTTGTGTACAATCCGTTCTAATAGTAGGGTTGTTTTATTTTTTCAGGGCACACCTGGTCTACCTGGACCAATTGGTGAAAAGGGTCTCAGAGGCGACAAGGGTGATCGAGGATTGACGACGACGTTAAAAGGCGATCAATTCCCAACAGGCATCATCGAGGGTCCACCAGGACCACCGGGACCACCTGGTAACGAAATAGCTGTCGATAATATTTACTTAGACACTTTGGCCAGACATTATTATCCAGTATATATTGTTAACGTACTGCAGTAGTGTTTTGTCTTGACTTTTTATAAACTTTTAGCGACTTGGCGTAATAATACAAATTTTTTTATACATACCCGCGGAATAATGCTATAGCAGAGTGTGATTCCCAGGTCATTTTATATGCTCTACCCAACTTAAAATTATATTTGAAACCGTTTATTTAATGGTATCTGTATAAAGTTATGAAAAAAATAAAATGTTTTTATTATATACTATACCACTTAGGTACCTACATTATTTATTAGGTACCTACAAATTTTAAAAAAAAAAAACGACCACCGGGAACACACATTCTGTGGATAGATAATATTTTACTTGTTATCGTTTTTATGTCGTTTGCCATTATAGAGTTGTATACAATATATTATGTACACTATATATTATATTATACGTTATTCGTTTGCTATCCGTCGGACCTGCAGCACTCACTATTGAACTGCAGCTGCGGTGTCGTGCAGGTCAGCGTGCGAGTAATATTTTATATCTTAAATGGACAGTACAATATATTTTATACTTTAGTCGTAGCGTAATGATGATCACACATGTGTTTTGTTTGTTGCTTGTAATTTTCAAGGTCCGGTCGGTTTGCGCGGCGAAAAAGGCGATCTGGGCCCCGTAGGGCCGCCTGGACCCCCCGGCGAAAAAGGTCGAGGGAAGAGAGGAAAAAGGGTAAAGGAATTTAAAAAAAAACCAGACACGATTTATACATTTATACTATATGATATCGATTGACACTCTAAAGCCCGAACTTACATTAGACCCGTGTCGTACACGCACACGGCGACGGCGGCCGACATGCATGCGCCGATGACGCATCTAATGTCACAATGCAAATTTTATGAATGTGTACTTGTTTGCACGTTTCCTTGGGGTTCTTATATAGTTTGCGGGTTGGCGGGCGTTACTCGAAGGTGGTCAATTGGTCAATGTTTCTGTGAAATATATCGATACATCGATGTCGCTCGATGGTCCGCGAGGAAGTACGCCGGTGCATGTGAAGGCCAAAACATAATAAAGTAAGGGTGGAGAAAATAAAACCCAATTCGTAGGTCCAGTGATTGTTCACCGCCTCGTCTATATTACATTATTGCGTTGTACCCTTAGTAACAGCGAATTCAACATTTAGATCTTACTCGACATAATAATATATGGGACAGTGTACCGACGTTAAAATATACACCTATACCTATTTATTATACTCGAATTCGTGTATTTGGTTTATACAAGGCGATTCATCAATCACGATTACCTCAATTTTATAATTTAACTGTGCATTTATTCAAAATATAATTGTTATAAGATTACATAGTTTCAAAAACATCGGATTTTGTATGGCATTTAAGCAGTTTCTGCTTAAACACACTACTTTTTTTTTAGTTCTTTTTCACCGGTTACTATTGTTAAAACAACTGTGATAATAGTATATAATCTAATTTCAAATTCAAACTTATAACTTCTGTGTTTTAAAACTTAATGTAGTAAGGATAATAGGTTTCCACAACAATAGACACACCTTAAGGCTAAAACACCATAATAAATCGAAGTATTTTAAAATATATAATATAGTCTTCAAATATGAACGCAAATTTTTCAAAAGTCAAAATTTTAATAAACGCATAATGAAAGAATATAATGCAGGTGAGCGCATGCTCGGTGAGTAATACTTTTTTTATTAATAATTCGTGCCAAACAGGAGCCCTGTACAAGATCGGCAACCGAATTAATCGAATACTATTCCCACACACGCCGATCATGTAATAAATAATAATATATTATACTATTGTGAATTGCCACAGTAATTATTATCTATTACCGCATTTAAAATACCATAATAATATATACCGTAGGTACGGTATATCGATATCACACAATTAGATTATTACAACGTTCGTCGTGATCATCATGGTCACGGCGTTTGTATTTGTGCGTGCGAGCTACATAAAATGAGCATCGTAGGCTGCGAGAAACGTTTGTGCTGAGAAACTATTTTGAAAACTCTGTGCATGCTTATAATACATACATATACACACATACATGTACGTGTATGTACGGGAGCGGATATAGTGGGAAGACGGTGGGGGTTGAAGCTCCCTCCTTAAATACCATTTCCAAAGACACCACTCGTTTATGAGTTAACTTATAAAAATATGCAATAATTGTAATTGGTATTTAATAATTATTCTTATTCTTAACAAATTATATTTCATTCCGTCGGTCTCTGTAACTCGCATCCTCTAATTGAACATTTTCATGGATCATTGCTATATATTTTTTTGCCCCGTCCTACCATCTTGTTCAGAGCCTTCCTATAGGTATTTTGCCTAAATTTCTTCCTTCTGTGATTCGTTCTGTAGTTTTTCCTTCCGCTCTCCTTACATGTTCAGACCATTCCATCATCTTGCTTCTGCAATACGATGGTATATTTGGCCTTTCATACATATTTTGTGCGTCTTTATTGTGTCTATTCATTAGCATGTTCCCGTTTTTATATTATAAACTGGGCATTTTGACTTTAATTATTATCTACAATATTAATTATTTTGTATGGGGAAAATTCATAGTCATCAATACCCCTTACAATCGTTTTAAAAAAGAAAAAAAACTTTAAACAGTGATAGAAATGTCTGTGTTTTACCCGTAGTAAAAAAGATTGTAATGATGAATTTTTGAACCTCCTGACCTCCATCACAGTGTATCTGGTTTAATTTATATTACCTAGTAAATAAGACAATTTATTGTATATAGGTGAATATTTTTTGAATAACCCCCACCTAATTTTTTCATTCCTAGATCCGCCCCCGCTTGTGAATGTGTGGTGCAAGTCGTGTAGTTAGTGCGTGTACCCGCCTGCTTATATGTTTATATGTAGTGACGTAGAGTATGGTAGTTGTTTGTTTGTTTTTTTTTTTGTGCACGTGGTAGAAGATTACGTACCTATAATATTATACCTATTATTATACCTGTACGCGATGTGTTATATACTTATAATACTTATACATATATTATAATATATTACTATGATGTTTTTATTTGTTCTCTGTGTACACAATTTATTACCACGTAGCGAATATCTCATGTGTATAGATCGATAAAAATTGTGTGTTGTACTCATATATATTCATCTTACGGCTTCTACTTTATATTTTTATTTTTATTATTATTATGATTATTACTATCGTATTGTGTATAGTAATAACCTACCTACCTATATTTAATTATACCATGATATCGCTTAACGGTTTGTCAAGGAACTGTGTCAAATGGTTTTTTGTTTTTTGTTTTCTATAATCACTCGCTATTCTCCAGGATTACCAGGTCACAACGGTACGGACGGTATCTCGGAACCAGGTTTACCGGGACCCCAAGGACCTCCCGGCCTGCCAGTAAGTATATCACACACAATTCGCACACACTCGTTTGCCTGCGCGATAATACTTAATTTTAATAAAGTCTTCCGCGAACGAAACTCGTATAATCGACTCTGCGCTCGGTGCCTTCACTCGAGCTAACAATTCGAAATAGTTCGCTTGACTGCGTCGAGATAGAATAATATAATAAGTGTATTATTATTATATTTAATACAATTAAGTCCGTTGCGATAACAGTAATGCGCGCCACCGAAGCTTTTCGTGTCGTTTCAACCATCTCTTTCGACCCTGTGCTCGCATTTAGTCCTATGACTATACACAGAGTCGGTACTCTGCGAGAACGGAGTAGGTACACATTCCACCGTCACCGGTTGTATTTTATCATTATTATATAATTTATATAAAACAAATTGTATTATTGCATTGAAATACGCCTCGATTCAAATGATACCTACTTACATTTAACGTTTATATTATATTATAATTATACGCGTCTGACTTGCAGGGTTAGGTATAACTCTATTTGAGTTAATTCGTTTCGACGGGTTGTCCAAAAACGTTTCATTTAAGAATAACACGTCCCTATAATACGCTCCGCCCAATAATAATATCAAATTGGGACATTCGTATACATATTGTATTAATTTGTTCCACGGTTTTTAAACGAACGATTTTTGCAGGGCATTGAACGACTCGTCAGTCGTAATTTGTTCTAAATGTTCTAATCAAAGACTATTATTTTAAAAACTACCATCGCATTTATATTAACAATAATTAATTATCCTCGGTGTGTTTTTGAAAACACTAAACGCACCATCGTTCGGCAAGAAATTCGATAGTAGATTCGCGTACCTGTTTTATGGGTACAAATGGTACAATTTACAAGCGAAACCGTCGTATTTGAAGACGTGCTATTATAATGTAATATTATAATGATAACATCTCTGTATTATATGCGCTTGAACCCGGAGCTTGTCGTCTTGAACGCTGTCCGCCATCCAATCCAATCATTAAATATAATATTATTGTTATTCGTAGGGCACGTCGGGTCCTAAAGGCGAAAAGGGAGATTACGGAGACATTGGACCTCCCGGTTTGATGGGACCTCCGGGCTTACCGGGTCCACCTGTAAGTATATGTTTTATCAATACAATTAATAAGAATTAATATTTATTATCACAGTGTGGTAAGGGCCCACGGGAATATAATATTATTATTATTATATTTCGACGTTGTAAGATGTATTGACTAAAAAATTACTATCTCGATTTGTCATTACATATCATTTACAATACGTCCTTACCCGCTATAAATATAGTACTACAATCCTTTCATATTTCATAGAATTATTAACGAGAATTTGAGAGCTTTTGTTATTGAAAGCATGGAATTCCAAGAATTCTCCTAGGCTAATTATAGCCATAGTATACCCTACAGCAAGAGACTGAATGTATATTAATGTTTAATCAATAATTGTGTAAAATCAAAATAGTAATAGTTTTTGAGTAAAAAAGCTCGAATTATTATTATAATATACCGTTGAGATTTTGTTACGTTTCACACGTAGGTAAATGTTCTAATTTGTCTATTTAAAAATGGATACGTGGATCAAAAATCAAATTAAATCGAGATTTGGTGTTGCACAGTACACAAATAATAAAACTGAAAAAAACCAGTAATTGTCATTTTTTTAGATTAGTTGTAACAACTAACAATTAATTATCGTGTGAAATGTAATGTTATGCAGTTTAATATTATATAGTATGAATACTACTTACTAGAATACTTACAATAATTCTATTCTATCATTTCGATAACAGTGTATAATAATGTAAATTGTTTAACAGGGATATCCAGGCCAAAAGGGTGACAAAGGAGATAAAGGAGAGTCGGTGAGTATAAAAATGCTATGATCCTTAATAAAATATTTGCCATCATGACTATTTTCGGCTATATGAGTAGATGTTTTTTCTCTTGGACGATTTTCTGTACAAAACTTAGATTTGATGCATAATCGGAATTAATTTTTTTTAATTTAATACTTAGCATTTTGTTTTTGTTTTGTTTTCAGAAATACAACAACAAGAAGATCAGAAGACGGCAAGTGAGTGATGATTTTTTTACAATGTATTTATTTTTCTCCTAAACGTTTCAACAAACGGGCGTTCCTGCTGTTATATATATATAACACTTGTATATTATAACGTATGTTCGCAAACGATATTTTTTCCACACCATGACCATGGGAGATAGGGGGTATACTTTTCACGTCCAAACTTTGCTCATAACTTCCCGAGACGCGCGTGACTATTTTTTTTCCTATTCTTTGTGCTTATGGTTCCGATCCTGCGACATTTTTTTGGCAACGTCTTGCGCACATTTTTCGAACAAACCTCTCGTGTGTACGCGTGACGTGAAAAATTATGAGTTTTTGTCCGTAGGCGTTAACCACTAACATGTTAGCCGTCTACTGAGTCTGATCTGCTTTCGAAACTAATTAAAAAACTTATGCCGATCATCAAATTGCTCTTTGCAATCTTTTAAAAAACGTATTCTCGCGTCATAGATTTATATCATACGATAATTCTATTTACAACAAAGATAAAATGAACACATTTTTTCGAAATTGATATAAAAATGTATATTAAGCTATTTATAAAAAATAACCGATTTAAATACCCACTGATTTTCAATAAACATAATATCATGTGAAGAAAATTGAATTGTTAAATTTTCTCGTGTTTATTTACATATGATAATTTATGTAATATCAAACTAGAGTGATAAAACAAATATAGCATCAACCGAAACGCTCTCCAAAGAATTCAGCGACTAATCCTTTTTGCGCATAACATTAGGTATATATACATCAGACACAATTATTTATAAACTCATAGCAGCCGCCGCCATATGTACTTTTAAAGTGTAAAAAAACTCGATTTATAATGATATGTTAAAATAAAATTTCGTAACACTTGACCTTTTGTAAGACACGCACTCGGTCTTTATGACCAATGACATTTATGACACTCGACTTTATGCGATACTTGTGTCTGCATAAAACTCGTCGGTTTCTATATAGGTAACCTACACACATACCCTTGTACGTGTGCGTAAGTTTGACTGAAAATTTACCTTAGACCCATCGAATCACACAAGAGTTTCAAATTATTGTAATATATATTATATGCTCTCGTCTTTTAGCAGAGCAATCTAGAATATTTTTTTTTATTAAATTATGACTTTTAAAACAAATTAATTGGCTATAGGTTTTTTTTTTTAATTTTAAATATTTTTTTTTGCATTTTAATTGATTACCTAACTTCTATAACTTCCTATCCTCACGAAACAATATGTGTAATTTATTTTGTTTTAACAATTTTTTCTATCTTACATTGTTATTGCAACTTTGGTATGAACTATTATTATAAGTGACACTAACCTAAATATACGACAATACTTGTCTGGATTTGGAGTATCTCTTTAGGATCACTAGAATTGAGAATTATTATAGTGTCGCTTTTTTTTTATTATTAAGGTACCTACGCGCGTTAAGTTCTCTCCTCTGCTCCATCTCCCTCTCGCAGGTCTCTTTGTTTGACGGAAATAATTTATGTTCCGTCACCAAGCTCGTGGAAACACGGTTCGTTTATTTTATTTCTTAATATTCGAAATCGACCCTTGTGAAACCATCACTCCGTGCGCGGCTCTCGGAAAACGCGAACGCGGAGATATATCTATAGTAATATGCTAATACAAATATGTGACATTTCGAATTTACTTTTTTTCAGTTCCAAGGCGACGGTGCTTTCGAAACGATTAACGAACCGGTAAGTACCATGGTGCAACACGCGTGTTGTTAAACATTTTTTTTTTTTAAATTTAAATCCAATTTCGTAAGCATTAATGTGATTTTTCTTTAATTCTAACAGCAGTTAGTGGGACCTCCCGGACCACCAGGACCGGCTGGATTGCAAGGTACGTCCACACACATTTTACACATTTTGTGAAACTTAACGAAGACACTATTAAAATGCTTTATTTTCGTTGGATATATAGGTCCTCCTGGCATTAAGGGCGAACGAGGCAAAGACGGTGACAAAGGCGAAATAGTGAGTTATTTCCGTTTTTTAAGTGTAAAATTATGCTGTTGTGTAACAATTGATTTATCGCGGTCGTGCAGTGTACGTTTGTTAGTGTAATACATGCATATTATAAATATTTAGTACCGTTAAATTTCGATCGATATAGAATGGTAACATTTATTTTCACACAGCGCAATTATATTATATCCGTGTTGTAAACAGTTTGAAATTTGTAGCTAATCTGAATAACCACTGTAAATTGTACAATATTTAGACACCTGATATTATATTATTATTGTTATAACAGTGGTCAGTGGGAAGAGATGTAAAAATCGTTCAATAGGCATAGGTCTGTAGTTAAAGATAATAATATTACTACCCAGTTAGATAAAACTCGTGTTTTGATTTGAAATAACTACTGTGAAAGGTGATTGAAAAACTCAACCAGTATTAAGCCAAACGCATTATATACACATTTATATGGGTAGAGGTAATATACGTATAGCGTTTAAATTATGTTTCCAATAATAGGTAATTGGCTGACAGTCGACAGTCGACAGGTTATTCGGAAAAAGAAAATTAAACCTTTTTTTACATTTTAACCGGAAATTAAAATGTCTGGGACAAATTGATTCAGTGTCTACTATTTAGTTACCCAATCTTTGTCAGATATCGACCGATTCAGTAGGACTTTTATACTGTCACACCGCGCACGTAACCACGTTACCTGTAGTTAAATATTACTATAATATTATTATGTTTTACTAAAAATATATTTATATCACATTAATAATATTATGATGAGATCACAGGCGGAATACCTACCTAAATCGCGGGTATTATTCATATTATATTACCTGCATTTATAGTTGTTGTGATTGTTTTTAAAAATCAACTTATAAATTCGACAAATAATTTATTTACAGTAATTAGTTTTTACGTGGCGCTGTTTATGTCAGATTTTTTTAGTTTATCGAAAATGGACTTTCGCAATACAATACATAATTTTGTACTAGGAATGCGTTGCAGGCCGGGAATGGGAGATTTTTTTTTAAAAAAACCTAATCGTTACTCGTTAGGGTACTCTTCCGAAGAAATATTAAAAATATATTAAAATAAATAACGATGCGTGTGTTCAACGTTCTGGGAAGAACAAATGTTTTCATAAAAGACGACTGAACGGAGTAAAAAATAATAATGCACGCCTGATGTATAATATTATCGTCTTCGGAACGTGAGACACATAATATTATATTGTTATTATTTCTACGAATGAGATGGTCCGTATAATATATGCCATTCGAATAACTTAATTTATCTTCTGAAGTGTAATACTGTACAGCTGCAGCAGTCGTCGGGCGTTATCGATACATTGTATCGTATCAATATCATATCAAATTTGAAGGGTGCTTTAAATGTTTGAAAGATTAAAAAGTTTATAGTTTGTAGTTTGAGTTTATGTGTAAAATGTTGTACACCGTCCATGTGCCGTCGTTTAAATGTCGTATAAATAATTTCACGCTTGCACAGGGCAAGCAAGTCGCCATTAATATTTCGGACCGTTTAAATAATATGTTTTATATTTTATTTCTCAACGATTCGTTCGAATTTGTAGTGCGTGTGATTTTTTTTGAAAATATGATAAATATAAAACCCTATAAATACACCTTACATGATTGTATTAGAAACGCATACCTGTTAAAAAAAAATATGATAATACTGAGGTATACTTAATATCTTATATTAAAAAAAGAAAATAGTCCTAATATATCTGTATACAAACACACACATAAGTCCCGAGTTTGGGTATTATAATGTCTGTATTATGTTATTATTTATATGCGTACACGCGCGTTAAAGTTAATGTGTATAATCCGTTATTTTATATACGGAATTTCATATAGGTTAACGCTATAATACCTAAGTCCTGTGGACCATACTTTATACTTTGTGTGTGTAATATTTATACATTAGTAATACGCCTGGCGTGTCCAAAAAAAAAAAATATCGGAAATATTCTCTTGTTTGTGTAATGTGTTACAATTAGTTACAATCTACACCAATACTTATATGGACTGTACTATTGTTCGTTCCTACTCTATGTTATCGGTTATTATCTCTATGTATCTAAATCACAGCACACCACAGGAAATTATCAGTTTTCCTACATGTCTACATATGGAATTAGGTATATAGACACGCATTCTAGTCTTACGAACAGGGATCGATTGTACCGGATATGGCAGATCAAAAAAAAAAAATATTGGGATAACAGAAAGGTTTATACATTGATTACGCTGATCGATTTCAATATATTAATAGGTAATAATTATTTTATGGATTTCACATGTTTGTATATTTTGGAAAAGTAGTAATGTTCATATGGATTTTAATGTTTTATAGACTTGAGCGTTATCGAATCAATAGTTGCTTACAAATTATAATGTTATGAATTTATAAATTAATAATTACCATGCATTCGATTATTTTTGACAGTAAAACGTTGTCGGGACATGTTTTTCCAAAATAAATATTTGTACTTTCTAGTGTTGTTTCGTTATTATCGTGCATTTACCATGCACCTACCATGTGTGCATTGTTTACATTTATTATTATATACCTACATTTAGTTGTTGTAATAATATTTAAAAAACAACTTATAAATTCGACGAATAAATTATGATTTATAATTGATTTTTACGCGGTGCAGCTTATGTCCACTTGTTTAGTTTATCGAAAATGCACTTGCGCCACACTATACAGGTCGTAGTACAAAACATTCGGTACAATTGACCAACACAAAATACGTATAATAATATGATATTATACATTTATATGCACCTATAGGCACATAATATAATATTATATTGTGTAATGTCGACGTAGCACAATCGACAACGAATATCTGTGAGACATGGTGGGGCTGTGTAGAGGGGGGGGGGGGGCGACCGGTATTATTCCACTCACGACTTGCGTAGGGACGACTTATTCTGCGATTGCATATTTTTACCGTCCGATTTCCCAACGGCCAAACGTCGCCGTGGTAATAATATATTTTCGGACACACTGCAGAAATGGTACATACAGCTTCCCGGTGGACGAAAAATCGATAGCCACTATAATAATATTACAATATATTATAATCTTGCTACGTTCAGCCAGTATGGAGGTAGATAATATACCAACATAATTATTATGGTGTACCTGGAATACCCATAATAAAAATATAATATACACAACACACATTCCGTTTTTATGACCGTTAAGTAGTTATACCCACGTTGCGGTAATCCCGTCAAACGCTAAATATTTAAGGCGATTATTGCATTTGCTAAACGAGCAACTCAATTATTATTATACTCACTGAGAATATTGCATTTCCAAAACCGTTATAAAAGTGTTATTATACTTTATGTTTTATGTCTGTAAATATTATGTATTATATGCGTATTCGAAACTATAATATTATAATATAGTGACACAAACCTATATAATATACGTAATTTTATAATACATAATGCACTCAGTGTATAGTACCTACTGATGTATTATAATATTCAATACAGTCTGTTGTGACTTGACAGAAGGGGTTTTAATTTAGAAACTTATAATCAACTTCCAATATGAAATTTCAGTATAATAAAAATATAAACGATAATGAATTAAGTCGATAATTTGTTTGAAAGGTTTATTTTTCGGATTTTGTTCATATTTTTAATGAACTTAAACTTAATTTTGGAAGTTGATTTTACTTCAAAGTTCATAACACATTTGCAAAAAAAATATTATTGGATTAAAAACAAACCAAATACCTACTTACTATGAATTGATGTAAAAAATAAACCTTTCTTTATTTCTTCTACACATAATTTACTATATGTGGTCTCAATATAATGAAAAACAATACAAAGATGAAAATTCGTTACTTTAACAAATTAATGATTTGAATTTGTATTAATATTATCTATATTTTAAGTAAAAACGAATAGGTATGTATCTAGAGATACATTGATACGTTATTCAAATGTATGTACGAACTAACTTTATCGAACTTTATCAAAATATGTTAATCTAGAAAAAATTAACGAGTTCTTGATTATTGTCTTGTTAGGTTCAATTTTTATGCTTATGTACTAATTAAATGACCATTTCAAGGTCTGTATACAATATGTATAATACGGAATCGGTCAAAATATTTGATAATGACTACTGCTAATGTTATAACAAATTTTTTTTTCCAAGATACCCGCAGTAGTGTTTGTTAATATAATATATCAAATCATATATTTTAATCGAAATAAATTATGTTTATTTCAATTTGCGATGGTATTATACCTGTTGCGCAGACAAATTTAGTCAGTCGATACGATTAATTAATGTAATATGAAGTACGAAATAGGCAGTGTCCACATCATATAAATATTATCAATATACAAGAACGAATAAGTAGCCCAAAGTCACGATAAGTATGATTCACGAAATATGTAATATATTTCCGTAAACGTTTAGGTCGACTTAATAGCATTCGAAAACGGAGCTCATTCAATTCATATTTGATGTCTATAGTTTTGATATTATTGCACACAACTACATACTATAAATTATTAACCAGTCAATCACACCATTTGAATGTTAAACAAATTTACATCGCAACATTGCGTGTTTACGACATTTGTTTTGAAGTGGGTACGATACGTCATATGGTATATAATAATATAATATATAAGCAACAGGTTAGTATATGGTTGATCACCACGATAAAAGATTAGTATATATTAGAGTTAACTCTCTTTGATAGTCTATATAACTATAGAGTACCCACTGAAGTTGTAGACGACTGTTTGAAACACGTCATTATTTCACACATTTTGACATCTTATATAAAAATAGTTATGGATGAATAACATAATATTGCTCGAATGCGGATTTTGATTTTTGTTATACATTTTCTATTTGTCAAAATTCAGAGAATCGTAAAGTTATTTATGTTAGTAAGAATTAGTTAAGGATTTTAGATGTTTAATTAAACATGAAAAAGGTTCATTATTTTTATTATTATTATCTTACAGAAATATATTTTTATTAAATCTTTGCATATTTTAATTATATTACTAATATATTATGCTGTTCGCAATATCATCAACTGTTTGGAACAGAATAAAGAATATAGTTATAAACGCCGCCTACGGTGGTAATAATAAAATATAAAAATGCCCGCTTTGAAAATATAAAAAACATTATTGGAAAACAATAAAATCGCTAGCGACAATCGATTTAATCTTTTTTAATTTTTATAGGGTGAAAAAGGATCCAAAGGCGATCCCGGCCCGATGGGTTTACCCGTAAGTATATCGTTCAGCAGCTGTTGTCGGGCCAATCGCAGCCCCGCCGCAATGTCATCATTATTATGCGCAGTGTACTAAAATCGAATTTCTTTTGTTTATTTTATTGTTCATACATGTAGGGCCCGATGGGACCAAGAGGAGATTCGGTTCAGGGGAAGCCCGGCCCGACGGTAAGGAATCCGTTTTCATCTACATAATAATATTATAATACGAGTCACGTGGTTATATTATATTAGTAGCTGATATACATATATAAACTCGTTTATCATATTTTTTTAGTAATTAACATTACACCTTAACATCTCTAAAGTTGATAAAAAAATAAATGCTTTTTCTACAGGTTTAAGGCAGTATTACTTCTTAGACGCGTTCAAAAACACTAACATCCGTCTTATAAAATTAAACTACCTTTTAGACTCTAACTATATATACACTTATATTATTATTTTTCAAATCCTTTATTATATATAATAATATATATCACCATTAGAGTTTTAACTAACCGTTTTTTTTTAAAACAATTTTTTTAATATTTAGTCTTACGCTATACCTACCTATTTTCTTAATGTTATAAATAATGATTAATACGTTTTGTAGTTATCTCTTGGTCCCGCCACCGTATTTATATACTAACACGTGCCGTATAATATTAATATAATTTAAGCCGCGATATGTATTTATGATTTTCGTTTTTTTTTTTTTTGAAGTTATAATTACATTATAAAAAGATTTAGCAAAGACGTGTAAATATTTGTTTTTCGTAAAAAACGAGCAAACCGCTGTACATGATAAAATAATATTATTATATTCATTTTTTTTTTATAGACGCGACATTATTATAATTTACGAACCGGGTCGTAATAATATGTAACTGAATGTGTTTTTCCGTCAAAAAAGTTTTTTATAAGTTTTTTTTTTTTTTTTGTATATAGGTACCTAATGTCCAAAATCCACCTAAATGGCAGTGGGGCTAAAACCGATACATCACATATACACACACCAATAACACACATACACAACACACAAACACACAAACATGTAATTCTTCGATTTTAATAATTTAACTTATAATATTTTAAGTATTATGTTAAACTAAAACGATTTTACAATACAATGATCTTATCCGCTTGCCACGGAGAGTGGACAATATTCGATCGGAAGATGATAAAAATAATAATTAAACCAAAAACCGATATATACATTAAGTATTAACATCATCTTAAGTTATCACATTAGCTACATACCGATCATTTTTATCGACGAACATTTGACAATATTATCGAATATACGACGCACAGGGCTGAAGCCATATTGCCCCAGCGGCTAATGATTTCGGTCGGTTTGCCAAATGATTTGCGTTAGATCGCGTCTGCACGGCCGTGGGTTTACCCAACTCCCTCCCCCGTCCACTATCCACGCCAAAGTTTTCCTCCCCTAAGCTCCATTCAACTTCACTATAATTATTATAGTAGGAGACGGACGCATGTTTTCCGTAGGTACTCCGACGTGAGATGGTGTTACGACTGTGACTTACCTATAATATTATAATATTATATTCGAACAAACACGATAATATTATTATCGATGGCTAGGATATAATCGATATGCAATATTCTTGTAGTCCGTAGTTTTCCGGATCCCGACGTCTTGTTATTGCGTCATTATTATCGAAACCAATATTGAAAAACAAAATCTTCATGATAGTATCATATAAGTACCACTACGATGCCCATAATTGTTTCGACCCCCCCCCCCCCCCCCCCAACGACCCACTACCATAATTATTATGATTTATGTCATATAAGTTTAAGAAATTTGTATTTTTTTTTTTTTACATATACTTGTATATACAATTATAATATATTATTATATACATACAAAATGCTGTATCATATATTTACAAATATAGGTATGGTATACTCACTCTTCCGAGAGATGCCTTTCGCGAAAAACGGAAATGAATAAAAAAAAAAGTTTTTCGTTTGTACATAATTTACAAGTATAATTATTATACCAAGTTTTTACCTATATACGCTCTTAATGGTGTATTAGGGTTCAGAATATATATACTATATAGTATCGTCTTTTGAATAAGTACCTACTAAAACAAAATTAAGGTGAAATATTATAAATGTATACCATTATATATATACCTACTTACGTATAATATATAATTTGTAAGATCTATATTATATATTCATCGGTAAATTATTATTATTATTATTATTATTGTAAACATATTAATTTATATTATATAGCTATCTTTTATTACGATTTTTGCGTGTAAAATTACTTTTTTTTTTTAAATATATTTTATTCGAAATAACGATACTATTTACGATTAAAAACTACTATGTATATTATAAGTGTATGGTATTATGTTAAATTTTTACTTATAATAAATTTAAAATTAAGTGAATGACCACCGCTATTATATTGATACAACGACTGTGGTATAATATTATAGTAAGAGCGTTTTCCGCGTGTATGCATCGTCGAGAATGTCACGAATAATAATTTCAGATCCGTGAGTGCACCGCAATAAAATGCACGTTGTATGTTATTTGTCTTCTTTTTATCTGTTTCTATGCATGGCGAATGCATTGTATCGCGTGCAACTGCAGCGTGTGTCCGTCGGTAATACTACAATATAAATACTATATAGCTATTTCGTAACATTTGCAGCTAAAGGGCCGGTTTCGGTAAATCGAAAATTGTGTTTGATTAGTTTAAACAGAATATGTTGGCTGGTCGGGCCATTATACCGGTTGGGCGATAATGGTTGAGGTTCGTTAATGATCCCCCTCATTCTACCTCTCTCATACTATAAGTACCTAAATGTTGTAATATTATTATAATGTCAATCCGTTTCATCATACGTTTTTAGTATTTTGCTATCGATGTTTTATTCTACGTTTGATCGGGAAATAATCCACCAAACGAAATAACGTTGATTGATCTATAAAGCCTATTAAGTTACATTTTAAGGGAAAATCGTATTGATGATAGTGATGGCTATAATAGAAATTGAAAATTACTAAAAACATATTGTAGCTTCCAATTTATACATTACACGAACGTCATAAACGTACAGTATCTAATACCTATAAAGACTATAACCTGTGTTTAATACACCATGATATTATAGACATTGGTCCGAAACCAATTATTTTTCATCATTAAAGATTTAACATGTGCAAGTACTATGAATATATATTTTTTAACATTAAATAATTAGAAATTACTGTTTTAAACCGGTAATAATAATTCTAAACCTAGGTAAACGTCTTGAAAATAAAACGTTTGAATTTGTTCTTAATTTGTATAATATTAAACATGATATATTTCAAATCATTAATAAATGCATATATTTGCCATGAGTATTTTTTTTTTATTTTTTTTAATATAATTGAATTATAACAAAATATTTTATCCTTATTGTGTGTTTAAAATGTATTTTAAACGTTATTCTAGGGATATTTATTGATAAAAACCGTTTTCTCGTATTATTCAGAATAATATAATAGAACGAATCGTGTGCTAAATTATTCAATATTTATAATAAATTAAAGTCAAAATTATAATAAATTATCCAAATTAAATATATATATAAACATTTAAAATAATAATTTAAATAAAATTGATTGAAAAAATAATAATAAAATAATAGTATATTCAAATCGAGGGTGCATTAATTATCCAACATTAAATATTTAAATATGTAGGTATTCGTTTCTCTACAAAGCGTTTTAAATTATATTACAAAATTAACCTAAACTATCTACAATGAGAACATATAGGTAATATTTATTATTTTACATAATGCACTAACAATAATTAGTTTTTGGAACTGACGTATGAGAAAAAAATTAGTACCTATAAAATCCTAGTAAAATAAATTACTTATAACGACGCGATGTGCTTATGAAAATCGATTTGAAAAATGTTGCGATTATTTGGAAATCTGAAGTTATAAACTAATAAACGGCAACCAATAAGAACCAGAGTCCAGAAAATCGGTCATGTCAGATAAATACAGAATAGTAATCGTACAAATATGATATGATACGTATTATATTACGCTATTTAATTATCGATAGTCGTTAACTTCCTCCCCCCCATCATAATAATAATAGGTACCTATATAATATATTTATATAATATATATATATATTGGTTTTATTTAAAAAAAAAATTGTATTGTAAACCGACTTGTGGAATGCTGCATGTGTGCCTGCGGGGTGAGTACCTATACCTAATTAACCTTTTTTTTTTTTGTTTGATTTTTTTTTTCTACCTTCGTTCATCACTAACCATCATTTGCAAAACCTATCCGTATCCCAAATGAGTATACGTGTTAATAAGGCTTTGGTTTTTGTTATTTTAGGGTCCTCCAGGACTGGACGGGATGAAGGTAATTATTATAATACATACATTTTAATACCTAAAATATATCAGACGCGTATAACTCCCATCGGTTGGGCCTTTGTCACATTATAATAATATAATGTTGTCATATTATTGGTTTTTCACCGAACGTACTATTAATATAATTGTATTATAAAACTGTGTTACACCTTATACCTGTATTATGTTTCTGTCTCTCTATCGCTTTATCGCCTATATTTCTAGGGTGGTCAAGGGGAGCCCGGTACCAAAGGGGAACGCGGAGATCCTGGCCTGCCTGTATGTATGTCGCACAATATACGCACAAACGTATATTCTATATGATAATATCTTGTGTAAAATAATAAATATGTGTCCGTGTTGTTAATATCGACGTTTCGTTTTTAATAACCAACACGGTTTTTGTAAGGAGATAAAAATACTTCCAGCTGTTTCTGTTCTGTTTTAGGGTACGGATGGCATTCCTGGTGGTGAGGTATAACATTTCAACTAAACAATATTAACATTTATATTTTGCTTCTATACATTATAACATTATGTGCCCAGCAGAAACCGTTTACAACGACCTGCAGACAAAGTGCAACCGACTTGTTCGTCCTGATAATATAATATCTACACGTTATTGTAAACATATCGAACAAAAATAATTTTCTTTTTTGTATTAGATTTTCAATGATAAACTCAGAACATAATATATTTTTAAGCATCTTGTGTAGATAAGTAAAAATATCTGTAGGAAATCAAACATTTATATCATAATAGTAACTGTCCTTTAAAGTTGATTTCATTTTTCATTTTAAATAAAACATTGTTGTCATATCTACAAGCTTTCATAAAAAGCATTTTAAAATTATTGATATTAAAACGTATACAACCAATATTATTCTGTAGCGATGGTGACTTGGAGTCATAAGATATGTGTTTTTTTAACGTGAGACAATTTTTTAGTGTTTTTAAAACACTCAATTCGATATAAAACCGATTACCGTAGTCATTGTTTGTTGTGAGTTGTGACAGATAACTCATATTATAAACGTCGATAGTGAGTGAGTCATGTTTTATTTTATACAAGTTGATATTCTATTAGAATATGAGAAACATAGAAATGTTTATGACAGAACTTCATATTTTTCTTGCTTACAATCAGCATTTTTTAAATTTACTTCAATAATGTTACTTAAGTGATGTTATATCATATGTTATCCATAAGAAAATATTTTATTCTGTTTTGTTTTTGAAAAAGTGAATTAATTTTAACAGAAAATTACAATAATATCAATTACGTAAATTAATAGAATACATTTTTTTTTTAAGTATAAACATTAAGAAAAATGATCGAACCAACGTATTGGTCTAACAGCATTGTAGGTTGGGCTTATAGATAATAATATTGTATTATTGTCGTTGTAATCAGTTAATCGTGTTTAAACGGTTTCTACTGCAAATATTATGTATCACTATTATGGCATTGTAATATAGTGACTCTATTTACAAGTAATATCGAGCACTGTAATTCACTAACATTACTGTCCAAAATTAGTGGCCGAACCAGTCCAATACTACTGTTTTTATACCTATATTGTATAAATGTATAATATCGTACAAAGCTTCAATTAATTAACATCAACTCACGTCCTCCACTCGTTGTACCCTCAATAAACACACAATTTAAACCGTCTAATGTGATTACCCACTTTAACCTTGAAAACACATTATTATGAATATTGTACTTGACCCATATTGAGTTTTGATCTCGGAATTTAGCTACAAATGCGCATTCGTTGCGTTCGTTCGTTCGAGGACGAGCTGTGATATAAACGTCGATATTATAATAATTACATATTATTATATTAGGGCCCTATATTATTATTCGTATTTAATCGTATAGGTATCTTTGGCGCTCGCATTTTCTGCAATCTTACATTCTTATTTTTTTAGATTTCCTTAGGGGGGGGCGGTATACGTAATCGGGGGTTATCGGGGCCTGAACAGCGCGGCGTTCGCCGACTTAGATACCTGGTATAATGGTATAGATAATATTATTATGTACGTTATTTATATCTATGCATCGCATATTATACATATATACCTAACTATAATACATCATCGTGGGACATGGATGAGAAAAAGAGATCACAGACAAGCTTTTGAGTTACGATTGCGAAACGAGGGTGGTCAATTATAATAGAGAACACAATAGTAGGTACCCTCGTATATACTATATATTGTGTAATATGTCGGGATAGTTATATATACTGTGGGGTAAATGTACTATCTATATATACAGTACACGGTTTGGAACAAATTAGAAAACAGAATAGCCCAGGATAACTGGACGAGAGAAAGAAAAGGAACACTAATCACAAAAAGGATCACCGCGCTGCAGATGCGTTGCCGTAACACAGCTTGAAAATATATTATCGAGAAAAAATAGGGAGAATACAAATTTGATCTCGTGTTATAGGTACAAAGGACATTGTTATCAGGTTTTCAGACGATAAATATTTATAAATCAATTATTCTTATCAATCATTAGATAGATACCTATACAATCGTGATGTTATCGTAATGTACACTATACCTAACGCACTGTACAATACACTGTACCTACTACCGTTACGATATTGTAACCATGACAATGGAAATATTAATTATAATATAATTTAACGATCACATTTTTTCCCGAGCAAAACTGAAATCGTATACGATTGATGAAAGTCGAAATGATATTAATATAAAATATCAATAGATATTCACAAATTAAGTAGGTAAATTCCAAGATCAAACTAACCCCTCATAGATAATTAAATATTAAAAAAAATTACCATTTCTATGTGTATTTACGACGATTTAAAAATAATATTATATTATATTTCTTGCTCGCTCCTCCGGAATGTGCATGCGCCGTCTGTATATTATGCATTTTTATACGCGGGTCTCATCGGTAAGGAGTTCGGTAAATGTACGTACATTTTGCCCAGAGGTGTCGTCGCTGGACTCCAGTGATTCAAAACGCTTAAATATTTTTTTAGGAACAGATGTCCCCACCTGTTCATGTTATATTGTAGTACAATATTATTTTTCCAATAATACTATGAAAGTATAACTGACGTATTTCAATAATTATTTAATTTGTTTAATATTTTATTACGAATTCTAAGGAATAATATTATACGTAGGCACCTATATAATATTATTATATATTCTGTTAAAAAATCAGTAATAACACGAATACTTTATATTAATATCTATTGGTAAAATGTACGTACATTTTCTGGGTGGAATTTATCGGACTCGCATACCTCTACATTAATATAATAAGCGTTTGCGGATATATTGCAACAGTAGCGTTTTAATACCATCGTGGCATTTGATTTTCAGGGTCCCAAAGGAGACAAAGGTTACAAAGGCGAACCTGTGAGTATATATAATATTATGTTCTACCTGTACAATATAGGTTAAGTTACGGTTAAGATTTTTTGACAATAACTGTTGTCCATATCAGCTCATAACATATTTTTATTCGGGAAAAAATTGCGAATGTTACGCTTTTAAGCGAATTCACTTTTTACCTGCCTAATAAAAACAATATATTTGGGTCAATTCTGAATAATACTTTTGATAAGTATGATACAATTTAAAAATATATAAAAAATAAAATTATAAAAATTAAGAAAAATATTTTTTCAACCTAAACTTTATAATTATGGCAAACATTTCAATTTTGCTCGAAAAGTGGAAAAGTGGAAACGTGAACTTGTTATAGTGTTCGTGTTAGTTATTACCTACTAATTAGTTATTAGTTTGTTAAGTATCATATGGTATAGGTACCAAAATCTTAAAATTGAATACATTTTTACTACAAAATGAAATAAACGATAGATGTCGATTGAAAATTATGCTTTTAGTGAATCCAACCAATTGAAAAACCCATCTTTTCGTTTACCTGTGGAATTCACGGAGAGTCCCAAGTCTGTCGAAATGACAGGATTGATAAAATATACTGTCCAAACGCATTACAATGTTCCAAAATTACTCACATAAACTGCATTGCAATTTTTACAAATCCGCCCAAAGTTGAATGTTTTAATGATAGGCGTTGTTATAATTTAAAGAGGGGTATGAACTTGTCAAAAAGTTAAAGCTGAGTTAAAAAATTATTTTAACTCATCCAATAAGTATCTAATAAACCTAATAACTTATGTTGATTTTTAAAATTGCACATAAAAACCATGTTCATAGGTACATAATATAACTGTAGTCAATACTAATTAATTATTTTATTTAATTACACTTTAAACAATAATTTCCAATAAAATATACTTTATGATTTAAAAATGGAATTAACACTAATGTAATTGCCTAAATCACTACAGATATAAATTGTACGATAAGATGAAATATTAGAATGCATTTTTAATAAAAATATATAAAGTAATTATAAAAATAATAATAAATTGCACAGCAATGGCTATGTGACTCACATAACCAAATTAATTACATTTTTGTAGCTGAGGTAAGTTAATATTTTACTCCATCTCAACTTTAAACTTTTTGTCTTAGTTACACTGTTAGGTAATTATTAACTTAATGTTTCTTAACGTTGACTTAAATTAACCAACTCAAGTTATTGTCTCTATTAAGTTGCTCACCTTTGATTACAACATTGATAGGGAAAATAAGAAATTCAGAAGTTACGATATCGTGTTACTCGAGAACACCGGGAGAAAAATTTTCGGACTTACGGAAAACGTAAACTTTTATTTAGTTTGTTAACGTAATAATAACACTCATTATTTGTTGACTTTTGTACATTATTGTATTTTTGATAAATATGATACCTATATTATTATTATATATAATATTTCTGATATGTATGTAGAAGAAGGACAATGTTCTTGTACTTTTTCAACTTTTATTTTTTAATTGGTATGTGGTAGGTAGGTACTAGGTGTCCTAAGAGGGAATGAACGAGTATATTTCTGAGAAAGCTAATAATATCAAGCAAATGTTATATAATATCTAGAAAATCGTTTATTATTTATAAAATACAACCATTTAAAGTTTAGAGGGACTATTATTGTATAATATAATATTATATATAAATAAGTTTACAAATTTGATAAGTGCCAATTATGGGTATAATATTATAATATGAAATTTATACAATATATAGGTATATAGAATAATTATGAAATAATTATAATTGAAAATGTAGAAACGTTTTAGGTACTACTGTTATAATATTGACTCTTCGAATAACATTTTCCCAATAAAATACTAACACTATAACACTACCTAATTCAATGTATGTATACATGCCGTTGCGGTATTATATCCTAACATATAAATGCTATTATAAGAATCGACGTTTGGAATGATACTATATCAATTCAAAATAAGCAAGGAACGTAATATATAGTAGGTATTTTCCTCTGGTCCTCCTCCTGATCCCACATGGTAGATACGTCAAGATTTTAGAAGAAGATGATAATAATATTATAGATAGTTCGTAATGATATCCGAGGATTTATTATCAGAGGAAAATGGTTCACGATTAATCACAGGTTCAGATTTCATCGGTTTCAGCGGTACTACTTCTTGGGACTGCCCAAGAGCAGTGTTTCCCATTATTTTTGAGATATAGTGACCAACTATATCGAAGCTTCTTCTACCAGAACCTGACCCATAAAAATAATTTTACAATTGTATTGTGCTACACCGTAATAGATCGGTATCGGTACTATAATATTATATGACTTACCTACCTCTATTAATCTTATAAAATATTTGCTTGTGAGTCCACATTTTGTGAAATTGGGTCGTGTGTTGTGACCCATATAGGTTGGGAAACACTGAGAGTCTCGAATCCTCCCCCACTCCAGCTATTGCTCAGGACCTCAGGTCATCGACGGCCACCGTGACCATATTATTAATATGGCGCCGGTCGACATTAGACAATATTTATTTATTTATTTATTTAATATAAACGGACGTGAGTCCTAAAACATAATAATATTACATTGTGAGTGAAAAAACACATTAATACGTAAAACAATAATTAATAGTTTCTACTTAAAATTAGAGAAAGAATAAAATAATAATGCTAAATTAGAAATAGAATACAAATCAAATATAAAAATTATTATTTAAATATAATCAAAGACAAAAGTATTACCTGCAGTCATAAGAAGGTTAGCAAGAGAGTTCAAGATATAATTTTTTGTTGAAAAAAGTGGATAAAAGGGTTTTGGATCTCTAGTATTAAGGTAATTAATTTTAAAACGGACTAAAGAGAGAATTTCAGGACAATCTATTGAACCTAAAATTAGTTTTTGTAAAAATTTAGAGAGTAAAAGTGTAGGCCGTAACTAACGCGCATGCGTCCGTTTCAGGGTCCGGTCGGTAAAAAAGGCCGGAAGGGCGACAGAGGCGACAAGGGCGATCAAGGAGTGCCGGGACTGGACGCGCCGTGCCCCATCGGACTAGACGGGCTGCCGCTGCCCGGATGCGGTTGGAGGCCCCAAAAGGTACGTTTCGGAATATTTTTTTCACGCCAACTATACCATGGACACAGTGGCGTCATTTTGGGGGGGGGGAAACTAGGGCTTTTGCCCCAGTCTAGTATTTACATCAACCTTAAGTCTGCACATTTACCAACCCCCCGCCTCCCTTTACCACTAAAGCACTATGCTATGAGAATCCGAGTGAAAAAAATGTCGAGTCGGAAAAGCAGTGGAAAGTTGCCCTAGTCTAATAAAAACTGAAATGACGCCACTGCAGGGACATTAACATCGTCGTTTTATTCGTCTCTGGTGTGCTTTTTCTGCATGACGTACTCGAGCGCATAACTATGTCTATTAATAATTGAATGACGCCTAATACCGATTGTAATAATAACACATCACTGTGTGTCCGATGACGACCGAAAGGAACCGACGACCACGACGAAATTGTACCGGTCGCAGACCACCGCGGAACCGCCCGCAGACGATTACGACGAGGGTGGCGGAGGTGGCGGTGGCGACGAAGAGACTGGTGGCGATTATGGTGACGATTACACCGACGAGACGAACAATTATGACCCGACCGTGAAATAATAACACCGCTTGCGTTTGTCGTGCCAGAGCTATTATATAGGTGTGTTTCGTTTTGTTTTTATTAATAATAATATAATAATTAATATAGTACACACGTCATTAATTGATTGCCAGCACATTATTATCATATCACCATACAGGTGAAGTTCGTTTGTATAATATCATAATTCCATGGTTAGTGAGCCAATACTGTCGTGACTCTCATTTTGGGGCCGAAAACGGGCTTTCGAAGAAATATCAAATTAAAAATAATTGTACATTGCGTTTAAAACTCCAATATAGTGTCGGAAAATCCCCTCTACTCGACTTTTACCATATAATTTTTCGATTTTATTTAAACGTTCTAAACTATGTGGAGGCATATATAGTGCTATGTGATAAATAGTGACAAAAGTTATAAGCTACATCGAAATGTGTTATAAGAAATATTATTCTCGACATTCCAAACAAAGGACATTTTTAGTTTATATTTAAAATGTTTAAAAAAAAATTTAAAAAAAGGTGGGCTGTTGGGTACCGCTATGCTGTACAGTATAGGTTTCGAGTAGGTCACTGTGATGAATGTATTATAAATTTGATTTCAATAATAAATCATTGTATGTATGAAAAATAATTCTGAGCGGAGATAGCCCGTCGGCCAATATTACCATAAGTAAATTTTATCATATTAGTCAGCCTAGGGTATTTATATAATATTTATACTGCTATCATTAGTAATAATTTATTTTATTATTAGTATTATGGTAGTATGATTTAATTTTTGCCAATTTAAACATTCCATAAAATATTAATATTTATAGGTAATTGTTTGGTTCCGGTATGAATTACTTTGAGAAATCTTTTATTAATTTTTCAAGCCTGCTCTATACAAATCGAACATTTTATAAATATTTAAATAAAACATTATTTGTAAAAAATTGAAATTAAAATGTCCATAAAAATTATGCCTGTGTATCTTTAACATTTTAATACCAATAAAATATAATAATTTAACCATACTCGAAGTAACTAACACTTTTTACAATTAGCGGGGGACGATGTGTCACAGCCCCGTTATCTGATATTTTTGACGTGATTATTTATTATTAACATTTTGCTAATGCTCGTTTACATTCAATAATATTTACGAAACTTCTTAATTAAGATGTTGGAAAAAAAATATTAATTTATAATCATTGTATAAGAATATAATTGAATATTGTAATTCTTAGGGAAGTATACTTTAAAAAAAATTATTTAAGTACCCATTACAAGATAATATTTGTAGGAATGTCATTGTCATACACTCATACCTACGTAGGTATTCAATAATATTGAATAACAGGCCAATATTATTGAACATTAAAAATAAATGCTGTCTAATGTACCTATATTGCCTATTCATCACGCCGTCTTACAAATTATTTTTTTTTTCCAATAATAGATATAATGTGGATGAAAATATAACAGTTTAGTTAGGCTTCTGTGTACACGTAAGACGGTTTTTTGCTACACTTTTTAGTTTGGAGACTTGATTCGTTGGGTACTATAATGAATGGGATTCAAAAGACATGTTGACAAAAATATTGTTTATAATTTTTTTGTGGTTAAATTATAATATTTTTGAAAAACATACATAATAATATATTACTCACCAAAACTGTAGGGGAAAAGTTACAATAATTATATAACTCCTCCACATGCGCAATTAGGATTTTGATATTGTTATAGATAAAGTGGTAGTACGTCAAGAATTATCAAAAATATTAAAAGTGAATATAAAAACATTTAACTCTCAAAAGTGATAACGTGTTAATGCCCAGTCTTGGACTTTATTCACTAGCCCATGTACTAACTACTAAAATGTTGTCAGTGTGTTATTCGTCTGTGGGCAACTCGTTAAAATTTTCTTTACATTTTGAAGTAACTAGGTATACACTGTTGGACTTGATTAATGACATTTTTTCCAAACAGGTTGATGATATATTTATTTATAATGATTATTATTTGCAGAAGTTCAACGTCGACGACAACAAACTGTTTTAAACCAAAGTTCGGTGTACGTTCTATCATAATATTATCGATCAACATCGATTTACGACGGGATCGTTGTGCACCTCAGTTATTACGTCATTATGTTAATTATATATATATTATAAACTAAGTAAATGTAAATATATTTTATACAAAGACATACCTATGTTTTAAGTCAGCGCAGCTGATGTAATAGGAACCATGACTTATACAAACCACGGTTATCTGTGTAGATAACCGTGATACAAACGAATGGATTTATCGTTTTTTTTTTTTTTTTATCATGTTATGTACAATAATTACTATGCCTAACATTATATTATGAATCCAAACCACATTGTTTGATGACCCTCCCTGCTCAAAATCAACTCAGTTCCTCGTTGGGTAACCATTAATGCCGATGACCATTTATTAACATCCGTTTGTTATAATTAATTTGTGTATAATATTATACTTTGGAGTTTTATAATATGTTAAAACCATAATAGTTTGAGTAGCATATTTTATTTTTGTTTTTGTATTCATAACAACTTGCTGTTAAAAATTTTAATTACAGAAAAAATGTAGTAAACCGTAAGATGTACATTATATTATATTTTGTTACTGATCTATAATTTAACCTTACAACCCTCAAAATTTGGATACTTTGGCTGTTTACTCAAATTATTTATCTATTAAATAAATATGTAATAACATTAAACCGAAGACATATTAAGTAGGTACCTAAACTGTGAAATATGTTTCATTTTTTTTCAAAAATTAATTTGTAATTATGCATGGAGTCTAAGCATATAAAATGTTAAGTTAAATTAGTCAAATAATTTTTATTTTAATCAAAATTGTGTTCATTTCATCAGAATAAGACAAAAAAACCATGTGTAAATTGTTATTGAACAGTATGGTATACAATATATGTAAGAAAAATGAAATACTACTTTATACAAAACAAACACTGTAATAATGCTAATAAATTTTACATTTATACTAATAAAATAATTTAATAATATTAGGGTTGACTTGTCTTATTACTTTATTTTAAACTTTTCTCATTCAGTAGGTAAATGCGATTCATTCAAATGTCTATAGAAGAAATAATCGTGGAATATAGAAATCAAGTAATTTAATAATAATTGTTTACACACGTTTGTACTAACAAATAGAAAACATTTACATACATATAAATTTTGGAAAACTATGTCAAATAAACACTCTAGGTCAGCAAATCCCAACCGGAGGTAAACAAACAGAATTCGTATGTTACTATAATATTTAAAAAAAAATTTATATTTGTTTTACACATCTAATTTATATATTAGTAATTAGTACTGGGTAACCGAGCTTAGCTTGGAATCAGTTTCTTAAAAATTATATATTTGCTTGTTAATCTTAAAACTTTAAATTATTATTTGGTGATTAAAATCAAATTAGGTATGGATTGCATAATATGATGACATAAGCCAAAGCTACTTGGCCGATGTAGGGGATGTATTGTACATATTTTCAAATAGCAACAGCTTAGATTATCGAGTTGGAGAAAAGCTCTCAACAAATCATCCACCAAAAAATAAGCACATCCACTTGTTATTATCTTTATAAAAATACAATGTTGTTTGCTCAATAACGTACGGTGTTTCGCTTAGGTAATTAATTAACAAAATAATTCTATTGATTCTATTTTTTTTTCTATGTATCAATTTGTTTTCAAAAATTAAGACTTGATCAAGAAAATACTAAAATAATAGTTGTTGCCACGATTATCAAGTTATACTCCTAACTATGGATAAGTAACCAAAAATGTGCATTTTATAAAAGTTGAGACCTTCGACAATGAATTATCGAATTCCTTACATGAAAAAACCGTCAGGTACAAAATCCTGATGAAATCTTTTTAGCCGTTTTTGACAAAAGATTTATAGGCACACGTAAATGAACTTGAGTATAAGTATACTATAGGAATATTTTTTACTTGTATATAACACGATTTAAATCTATGAATAAAGGTAAGGCATATTTTAAAAATATTCGTCTATAGTACATATTTGAGTCGTACGCCTCTGTTAGTCATGTAAATGTCAAGTAGTACTCGGTAAGACAAAGGCTGGATACCGCTTATCTATGTAATTATACAGAACGTGAAAAACTGATACTTAGACACAATTATGATAAACATATTTTGATGGGTACTTAATAATAAATGGTAAACAAATTTCCCTAAAACTAAAACTATTCAGTAATAATTCTATTAGTGTCGTAATTATACATTTATTTTTAGTAGAACCTTGTTATATGATTTTCTTATGATCTGTGAATTTATTTTATTTTAACAATAAATAGTTTTGGTAGTTACTTGATAATAAAAATAATTAATTGTGTCAGCAATAAAAAAAAAAAAACATCGATATATTGTATATAAAATTAGTTTATTGCCCTTACACAGTGACACATTTTAGTCATTTTACACTTGAGCATGTAAATACATAATATTTTATACAGTTTTTCCTCAATTAGTAATGCAAGTAAACAAAAGTACTTTTTGATAATGAACATAATGCAACAAATAACAAAAATTATCATTTTTTCCCTTCGATCATAATAATGTGGTAACCAAATTTAGTTTTGACGGGTGGGTCGGTATACACAGGACTGGCAAGACTCGATACAGATAAAGCAAATGCAGCATCTTGAAATGGACCAACCATTGAGCCACGAATCATCCAGCCCAAATCACCCTGAAATGAATTAATACAATTAGTAAATATAGAAAAATGAAAATATACTGTTCTAGGTATGATTGATCTCAAGATACTAGTTATTATTAGTGAATTAAATCAATCGAGTACATATTTCTAAAGTTTAAACATTTGAGTAACACTGATTATGATATTTCTCAAACTCTTGACCATAAAAATAATTGTTTACAAACAAGTAATTAAGTTGTCACCTGTCAAATATTGTATCAAATAACATGCATTTATAATATATCTTGTTAAAATGGAAATAAGAAACATTTTGCTAGTTATATTTCAAAGGAGGTTCATTAAGAATCATTTTTTTTAGGTATTATGCAAATTGAAATTTTCTTTTGAAAAAACCATTATGAAATTATGGACTTTTTAGTTGGTTTAACCAACGAGTACTTACCTATACAAAAATTACAATCTAATTAAAGTATTTTAGTGCAGGTAATTTATATGAATCAGAAAAGGTAGCTAAAATAATGTTCAGTATAACAACATAAGCAAAACTATTTTTGTCCACGATAATATGGCATGTAATATGTATGTATGAATCAATATTGACTACAATACAATTTTTAAATTTAATTCAAATTTATGGAATTCCTACTGTTATAATATTATTACTCAAACCAGTCAAACTCAATCTGATGTAGGCATATATTAAAATAATATATATTTGAGAAATGTATTGTTGATTTGTTTATGTATGTACAACTCCTTAGCATTTTAAAATATTATATTATGATTAAGATATTTAAGTTTTATTGTATAAACAGAACGATATAAAAAAAAAACGTTGTCTTCATTTTGTTCTTTAGTATATTCTTATAGTATATACTATTCTTTTTAGTATGTTCTTAGTATATTCTTTAGTTCTATATTATAGATTAACAGATTTATATAAATCACACATAATATAACAATATAAATACAAATATTGGCTTATATTCTTATAATAAAAGTGATAGTCATTTAAACTTTTGTTCCTGCTATTCTTTTTTACAGACCATCAGTGTAAAAATGCAAAACTTATCAATAAAGACATCAATCGAATACTAAAATATTAACTTACACCTTGTCTAGCCTTGTCTTCGCTGTATAGTGTAGCAACTTCATTAAATTTTACGCCCGCCTTGAGTTTTTCCATAGCTTCCAACACTTTGGACTGTTTTTCACACAGAATGTGTCTCACCTAAAATAATATATTACATGAGGTAATGTTAAAAAAATAAATAAATAAATAAACAATAATATTGTGCTATTTATAAATATGTAATTTTACACGGTGATTTTATTTTTATTTTTTCAGTGTCCGTCTTGTCTATATTACAGAGTTGGATACCCCAATACGATTGTAATATTAGTATTATGATTGTTATAATTGGAAATGAAACTGAATGAAATATTGATGGACTGGAATAGGTACCTACTATTAAATATAAAACATAGTCAAAGTCATACTCAAAACAAAATGATTTATAAAATCTTTAACTTTGGTATATAGATATTGAAATAAGTAGATTTGTATTTTATAAAAGAAAAAATAATGAAAATGTATTATAACATTTGCGACAACTGTTAGTGTCCAATCATTTACATTAGATTTCAGTGCATAAGGAATAGATTTAAGATTTAACATATGCACCTAATTGTCTTACTTTTACAGCTGAACCTCCTTTTTTCTCCTTTCCTTTGCCCTCATCGTCTGCTTTGGAACTGCTCTTGGGACCCTTGGCGTTAGCGTTTTTTTTGGGTGGCATGACAATTATATCGTAGAAATCAGTCTTTATAAAGTTGTGCGATTGGTTTTATTATTTGGTTGCTATTCCTAAATGGGAATAGAATTTTAGAACAAAAATAACTGTGAAAATAATAAAATTGAAAATTAAAATGTAACTAGATGCTGCATACTTACAATTAATTTAAAAATAAATACAGTATTATAATTCTTTTATTCAACAGGTAGCTGTAAGCTTTAGTCTTCTTCAAGACGAAATACTAAATATTAAAATTTTTTAAAACATAATATAAAATAGTATAAAACTATAAAATATTCACAACTGCTCAACTATTATCACATATTTGTTATCCGACAAATTGATAACAATTTAACAGTGATAAGTGTTCAAAGGTTAACCGTAAGATGCCGCCACAGTATGAATTACAATTGAAAATTGAATTAATTCATATTATGTTATTAGGTAAATTAATATTAATTTAGTTATTCAGCCACTTAAGTATTGACTATCGACTATCAATATTATAAGTATTTAATAATTATGAATTTTTTTTCTTTCCTATAAAACCATATTTTTATTTCAAGAACTAAAAAAATTCTGGAATATTCGAACAAGCGGGTAATTGAGTAATTCAATAATATTGTCATCTACTCAAAGGTACGAGTTGATCGTATTTTACCTACCTAGTCAGTAGTTATCTACTTTTCACGTCGGTTTTCACCAATAAACATAATCGTATGCGGTACCTATATGTTTATTATGTAGTGTACGTATCTACACTGGTAATTGGTATATTATAGATTTTATTGAAGGGGCGTATTTAAGGATGCCCCCCCCCCCCCCCCCAAATAAACCGTATTTTATACCTTTTTTTTTATTATTATTGAGAGTATTAGCCTCTTTACGCTCTCTTACTTTTCACCACGATTTAAGATTTATGAATAATATCTTAAATAGTGCTTACAATATTTTTGTTGTAATCGAGAATCAGTGTTGCAGTGCTATTAGTTTGTAATGTTTTCGTTTCGGAACGTTACGAATTTTATATTATTAAAGTTATGTACAACTCACGAATTAAGATATATATATCTTAATTAGTGGTACAACTAGATGGGTTGAACATCATCATGAAGCTTTTATACGATTTAACCAAATGCTTCCTGCTATTGTATCATTTTTGGAATATTTGATCGAAAATTCTGACGGACAAATTTTGACAAAAGTTAATGGTTTATATAACTCGATATTAAGATTTGATTTTTATTGAATTACAAATTATAATAAATACTATGAGTTGTACACTATACCTTTATCAAGGAAACTCCAGTCTCCAACTTTTGATATATATCTGAAATTCTGAAGCACATTGCACAATCTTTAATACAATCTGCTTTAACTGTTTTGACAAATCAACGTAATGAAAATGACAATCAAGATATTTTTAAAAAATCCGAAGATATTATGGCTAGTAAATTTAACAAATTTAATAATAATTTGATTAATTAATCCAATATTTACTTTTTTTTTTAGACGTTATAAAACTCATGGACTATTTTGTGGATACATACTTGGATAATGATGCATGCATGTTTGACCGGAAAATATGGAATCACTTCAACACCGAAAATACACTAATCATTCAAATTTTTTTTCTCTTCAATAATGTATATGAGAATAAATTTGTACACATTCTTGTACACATACTATACATTTTGATGACGTTTACAAAAAATTAATTTAAATTTAAATTTGCACCAAAAATCTTTTTCAAAATAAAGGTAATAATTAATAAATTAGAAATATTTTGCGCATGAATGATATAATATAAAATGTATTATATATTTATGTATATTTAACACTATGTCTATATTATATACGTAGTATATGTATTAGGTAATAGTAAGTATGTATGAAAAGAAACTAAATTAGCAGGGAGGAAGTTTGACCTGATTCAAGTATAATTAAGTCAGCAAACTGGGGTGTCGACGAATTGAAAGTAGGAAAACTGGGATGTCAGCTAATTGGGATTCGGCAAATTGGGTTTCGGCGACGTGGGAAGACACGATTTATTTAGGCACATTATTAGACCATATAGATATGAGGATCGTCAAATAGTTTTGAACTTTTGTCTATCAAGTTATATCAGTTTCAGGAAACATACCTAGTACCTACATTTATTTATTTTATGGTTAACTTTAATTTGAGTAACATCATTACAGCATTGAAAGTACGTGGGCCCATTTGCACTCTTTAATAATGGAATAATTAATTACCAATTAAACTCTTAAAAACCAGTCTCTACGACTCTACAATATTGTTTTATTGCTCCATCATATTTTGCCATGGGATAAATATAAAGTAGGTACCTATATAGTACCTATACCTTTTACTATAAAAATTGATATTGTTAAAAATGTACTCTGTATATCTTATAGACAAATAATTAATATTTTTTATATAGTATATTTTTACATAGGTAAATGGTTGAGTGGCTATAACCCCCTTAGCCCCCATCGATACGCCTCTGACCTATGTTATGTTAAGAATTGGCATTGATCATCAACTAACTACAGTTGCTCCACGAAAAATTAGGTGATATTATTAGTGACATTTATAGATTTAGGGTTAAATAAAATCTTTGACATTAATCGCATTCCTCCTCAATTTGCCTTAATTTGGCCATGTAAACACAGAACTCGTCGCATCTTATATCTGTGTAAAATGTTGTCGTCTTTAAACAATCTTCTGCTGACTGCTATAGAACGATTACTTCGCTAAACCTACTTAAGTGCCTTCTCTATAGAATTATTTCACTCACAAACAGGTAACGGCAACTACAGCCACCCTAAAATAAAACCACTAGCGGTATGAGTGAAGTGTTCGTTAAAACCCTCGGAAGTTCCTGGGATACCAGATACCTACATAAATATTGTAGCGACCTCATTTGCGTGGAACGGAACATTTACCAAAAATCCAATTTAAACATTTGTAGAAAAGTAATTTTCGTAAGAAATACGGACACGACGGTTACGTAGGTACCCTCATAATGTATTCACTATTCAGATTTCACTGTTTCGGAGATTCATATTAAAATAGTCGTTAGGTGCACAGTCGGGAATATAATATTATAATATAGCAGTATACCGCCCTGCACTAAAGCGTGCACACAGATAGTTACACAATCGTAAGTTTCGTCACGGATAAATGTAAAAAAAATATAAAAATTCAAATACCAAAATATTCTAATGGCATTTGTGTGGATTTAACGTTTCGTTGAAGATGTTTCCGAAAAAAAATGAATTATATTTTATTATTATATAAGATTAAGATTGGACAAGAAACGTAACTATATTGGCAGGAATTCTCGGAAATACCGAAAAATGCCCGCTAATTAATTACAATTTATTATTCATTATATGTTATCTAAATGGCACATCTAAATTAGATGTTCAATTTTTTTTATCAAAATATAATTACATAACTAATTAAATTTTGAGTGATAAGTAATTTTCTTTTAAGAGTTTATAATCTTTGATTGTATAATAGTTAATAATAAATAAATTACATTGTGAAGGAATCAAAGAATGCAAGAGGTGCAATGTGCATGAAGACTAACTCAATATTCTAATTAATAATATTCAGTTAAAACCAGAAATGAGACAGAAATTCATAGTTAATTATTAATAGGTAACTGCCAACTGGTAATTATAATATCCGTGTGATAAGCAACACTGCGGAATAACAGTTATTTTTTGGTTATACACACGATCAATATGATAGCCGTGGTTATGCAATATACAGTAACAAAATATTGTAGTTATTGCCTATCCTAAAAACGTGAGTGTTATAGAAACCAACTCAGTTGAACAATAATAGTTACATTTATTATATAATAATATTAGAATGATTCACTTTTACGATTTTTAATATATCTTTTTACTATTTAGCTTATAATTATAAAGCCGTTACTAATATTATAAAGATAAAAAATTACTTATAAAAATTTAAATTTCCTATTCTCGGGAATGTCAAGCATATAAGATATGTACCTATAGTAGTCAAATTACAACAGATAAATTCTATTATTTAGAATTTTAGAATAATCATTCATTGGTATTAGAAATAATAACAATTTGATTATTAATAACTTAAATATTGTATGATATTATAAGCCTACTCGACATTTTGCACAATGATTAATTTAATAGTAGGTACCCAAGTACACATTAAACATTTTATGGTATCTCACAAGTATTTGATCTTTTTTAAATTATTCGAATACAATATGTTTAAGCATTATTTATTTATTTGACACCATTATGTGGCATTTTACAAGATGTACACTTTTTGTATATACAATTTCAAGTAAATATTGGTTTATTAGTTATAGCTTGTATTTAGAGTTTTGAAGAGTGGATTAGTAGACCAATATTTTGTGGGATAAGTACCTGTGCCACTTCCTTCATTTAAACATTAACAACTTCTAACTGATTAATACATGTACTTGTTAGTTGTTTGTAAAATAAAATTCGATTTCAGATTTCTACACACCTATAAAAATTCTCAGAAAATGCTTCAGATAATGATATTCAAATTTTATGATAGTTAGGTACTTTAACGGGATAAATCATAATAATACAAATAACATTTTTTTTCATACGTCATGTTTTGTTATGAATTCAAATGTATTATTTAAAACGTTAATACTTTTCAAAATAATAATTGTTTACTATTAAAAATCATCCAATACTTACATATAATTATAATATAGGTAGTTACGACAGTACAATATGTCATATCATTATTCAGGCATTATATGACTTGTCTCTTGACTGTGTTGTTTTGGAGAAACAATAAGAAAACATAGACAACAATATCTATGTTACTATTAGATTGTAGCTTCCATTCTTGCGGTATTACACTATCACCTTGTATATTTTACATAATATCTAGGTATACAAATAAATTAATTTTATTACATTATAATAAGACGCTTAATAATTTTATAATTTACATAATTA